TAAACAAATCGTCAGGGGATGCTAAACACGATAACCTCCGCGTCAAGTTCTCACTCAACCAATCATTCAATTGTCCGACGACTTCCCTCAACTGCGCAATCAGCTCACCCAGCTTCGGCTCAAAAATATCCTCACATGACTGCAAGATAAATAATTAAATGAATAAAGACTCAAATTCTATGGAACTCGGAAGCACTAAAAGAAGGACTGGTTTGAAATACCTTAGTGAGAGAGATTAAGTACATGGCGAGGCCGTTGTGTTGAGAGACGGAGGAGAAAGGGAAGGGAACGGAGGCTTGGGCCGGAGGAGCGTATATTTGAATCAGAATGCAAATGGAGACCTTATGAGGTGTGACGGAGAAAGCGCCCGGCGGCTTCACAATCCCGGCCATGGCTGGGCGGCGGAGGAGTGATAGAGCGGGACTGCAAGTGAGATGAAGGAGAGAGGAGTAGTACGGTCAATGCAGGCTGACTGGGAGGGCCGGGCCGGGCCTAGAAAATACCAGCCGGTCCCGTCCCACCATAGCCCCCGCCCGCCAAAATTTAAAAATTTTAAAAAATAAAAAATAGAAAACATGATGAAGATGAAATGTATATCTGTATTCACTATTCTGTCATTCTGTACCTATAATAATAATCCAATAATACCAAAATAAATGAATAGTTATGCTCTGCACCTGTATGCACCATGCATGGTGTATACGGATGCAAAAACGACATCGTTTTATTAAAAACGTGCGTCTCCCTTTAAAAAAAATTTCAGGTTCGATTCCTAACAACAGCATTATGTTGTTCATTCATTATGGAATTTTAGTTCATAGATTATGGAATTATAGTTCATAGATTATGGAATTATAGTTCATCGATTCTGAAAATATAGTTCATCGATTCTAAAATTTTAGTTTATCGATTATGGAATTATAGTTCATAGATTAGATTCTGGAATTATAGTTCATCGATTATGGAATTATAGTTCATCAATTATGGAATTATAGTACATCGATTCTGGAATTTTAGTTCATATGTTGTTGCTGGGAATCGAACCTTTTTTTTTTTCAAGGGGAGACGCGCGTTTTATTAAAATGACGTCGTTTTTGCATCCGTATGCAGTTATGCACCATGCATGGTGCATACGGATGCACAGCATAATTTGCCAAAATAAATTGGGTCTCAATGAAATAAAGTAGGCTGCCAAGGCAGGCTAAAAATCCCAAGGCTTAAATGGGGTAGCCCGCCCCGACCCGTGGCAATCGTTATACCGTGCATCAGGGTGCACATAGCAATATGCGTCTCGCGCCTCTCAAAACGACGTCATTTTGTATTCTGTTATAAAATTCTGTGTTTTCAGGTATAAAATTATGTACATTCAAAACATAAAATTTTTATCCTTTTAAAAAAGATTATGTGTTTTCAGGTATAAAATTTTGTATTTTCTATTATATAATTATGTACATTCGAAACACGAGAATTTTCAGTCATAAAATTTTGTGTTTTCAGGTATAAAATTATGTGTTTTCAGGTATAAAATTCTGTGTTTTCTATTAAATAATTCTGTACATTTAAAACATGGGGATTTTCCGTTATAAAAATTATGTGTTTTCAGATATAAAATTCTATGGTTTCAGGTATAAAATTATGTTTTTTATATTATACAATTATGTACATTCGAAACATGAATTTTTTTAAGGGATTAACAGCAAACAAGCGAAAAAAGTACAAAACGATGTCATTTTGGGTCAGGACGCACAATGCATTGTGCGCCCTGGTGCACGGTATAATTTGCCAAATTATTGTATAAACCATGGTTCATATAGTGTTGTATGGACCATAAAAAAATACATTTTTAACATATTAAAAGTATATTATTTGTGTACAAAATATACATTATATAAAATAATGTACATTTAGTATTTAAATAGTGTACTTTTTTCTGAATATAAAGTATATTTTTAATATACTAAAAGTATATTATTTGTGTACTAAATATACATTATTTTTTATCATACAAAATATGGTCTATACAATAATGATTGCACATGTTTTTTATTTTTTTAGTCTTAGCTAGACTAATACACTACAATATATATTTCTTTATATACATATATAAATTTGTATAAAGATTTAAATATGTGCGAATTTTTCTTATTATTCATGATTTTAAAGATTTTTTTTTTGTTTTATCTTAATTATTATGTTAATTTGTTTGTTTATTTTGTAATTAATTCATTGCGAGCATCGGGTAATTATTTCATAATTAATTCATAATCTGAAATTATTTAAATTATTACTTATAAGTGACATTCGTGCATCGCACGGGTAAAATACCAGTATTCATAATATACATATACATAAACACAGCAAGTTTGTACCAAAAAAAAAAAATAAACACAGCAAGTGGCTTGTAGTCCACTGGTATCCGGTTGGCCCCTTATGTGGGATGTCTTAGGTTTGAGCCTCAATATAGGCGTAGATAGTATATGGGTATCCCCCTTCCTTTGTAATAAAACATATACATAAACACAATATAATGAACATGAATTTGATGTATTGTGTTTATGTGTCCTCAATTATATAATACACATAATTCATATTTATTATATCATTTATATGTGTATTTGTATTATGAATATGAATTTTGTATATTACAATCATGAATTCTGTGTATTAGTGTGGACCCTGGTCCACGATATAACGATTGTCATGGTCCATATAATAATTTGTCAGTTCATGTTGGATAGAATATAAGGCCCAACCAAGTTAATCATCACTAACATTAATAATAATAGCCCAATCAAACCAATTGAGGCCCAGCCCAATCTACAACTTAACCCTATTACGTAGTACTCCGTATCATCATTTATCTACAACTCAACTTTCCCGCCTAGCTCCAATTTGATTTATGAGGGATTTTTCTCTCATTTTATTCACACATCTATTTTATTTTCACAGTACAATTTCACGTTTTCAATTATTTCCAAAAAAATACATTTTTAATATACTCAAATTATCTAATTTGTGATTATTCATACATGAAATTTTTTTATGCAAATAATATCATTTATATTACTTTTGTTATATTCGAATATTATTGAAACAACAACTATCAATAATAACTAATATAATCTTGTATATTATATATATAGTTGTTTCGATCTATTGACACCATAACAAAAGCATACACATGGATTTACAAAATTATACGATATTTGATTATCATTAACACCATTTTGGTCGATTGCACAAAATCTTTTTAATGTGATTTACTTTTCATGTGTAGTTTGCGCGTTATTACACAAGAACATGATTTACTTACTACACACTTTTGAGTAATAATTATGAATTTGTTTCAACACATAAAATAAAATTATAATGTGAGCATGTATTTATCTTGGACATATTAATATAATATCTAATCTAAATTTTTAAAACTAATAAGTGTGAATGAATATTATACCCTTCATTTATGTTTGTTTTTTAATACTTTATGCTATAAGAGTTGTATTATATAATATTTTGGACAAACATACACATATGGTTAGAACTTCCATTATCTTTTTTCACTATTGTTACCATACACATGCATACATCATATACGTTTTTATATTCTTCAATAATATATATATATATATATATATATATATATATATATATATATATATATATATATATATATAATTAATTAATGTAGGCCCTGATTGGTAAATAGTTAGCCTATAGACCAATTTTGGCTTATTTGACCACTATTAGCTCTTTGACTTGGTTAAAAAATTAATATAAGTGTTTGATTAATTAGTTTTTTATAACTTTAAAATGCAAAAATTCAAAAAACTACTCAAAGTAACTTTTTCACTTAGCTTTTTGAGAAAATAAATTATACCAAACAGGTATCAACTAACAGCTAATTTACTAAACACATTTATGCAATCAGCTAATGTTATCAACTAGTTATACCTCTGATTAATCCAATCAGCTAACCGTTAACAGCTATCAGCTACTAGCCAATCGTTATGCTATGGACCCGTGTCCAGCATGCATGCTGGACACGGGTAACAGTGCCACGCAGTGCCGTTAATGGCACTGCTATCTTTCACTTTATTTTTTTTTTATTTTTATATTTCAGACCGCTTTGTTATAAGAGTATATGTTCATAATTTTATTACTATATGTTCATAATTGTAAGTTTATAATGTCAGAGCTCTATGTTCATACTTCAATAACTGTTACTTCCATAATTGTACATTCATAATTATGTAACTGTACATTCATAATTCAATAACTGTAACTTCATAATTTTCGAAGCTCTATGTTCACAATTTTAGAGCTCTATGTTCATAATTTAATCACTATGTGTTCATATTGTAATTTCATAATGTCAGAGCTCTGTGATCATAATTGCATAACTGTACATTCATAATTGCATAACTGTACATTCACAATTCAATAACTGTAAAATCATAATTTTCGAAGCTCCATGTTCACAATTTGAGAGCTCTATGTTCATAATTTTATCACTATATGTTCATAATGTCAGAGCTCTGTGTTCATAATTTTATAACTTACATTCATAATTCCATAACTGTATATTCATAATTCCATAACTGTACATTCATAATCCCATAACTGTACATTCATAATGGCACAAACGAATAACGCCGTTAACGGCGAGACAAAATTACTTTTTTTTTTTAAAACTGGAATGACGCGTTTTCCCTGAAAACAACGTCGTTTTGGACTCGTGTCCACAATGCATTGTGGACACAGGTCCAAGGCATAATTTGCGTAGCCATTTACCAAACAGGCCCATAGTAAATACGAGGATTACTATGAATTTGAAAAGGTATGGAGGTCGGATCGCACGGGGATCTTATATTTGTCTATTTGTTGATTTAAATCCTTGACCTTAGGTTACGTGACAGGATGTCAAGGTTCTCGGGCTTGTTAAAATACAAAAATTAAATTCAACAAAAAACATCATAGGTAACTCAATGGTAGTATCTGGCGAAGAGTTAAGAATCGCACTCAATGGGAGAGAGCGTATGCATTAAATGCTCTATCTACGGGTAAAATACGGAGAATATGCAACAACTTCAAGCAAAACACTGATATACGGCGCCATAGAAATTTCTGGAGTAGAGTATTTACTGGTCGATTTTTAATTTTCTATAGTAATTTTGTCGCCATTTGTTTTTTTTTTTTTTTGGGTGCAAGTTTACTTTGCATTCATCGTTTTCACATGTTAACTTCCTTTCAGGGAGATCGAGAAGAGAGAGAGAGAGAGAAAATAGTAGAGAGGGGGGACAGACAGTTAGAGAGGACGCGGATGCAGGAGGAATGCTTCAGAACTAGGGTTACGCCCTTCTCCAATGGACTCGCCTGTACCTTCCAAAACCACCTCCACCCCAACTTCCGCCGCTGCCGTTTCTTCTTCTTCTTCTTCAGTATCAGAATCTGCCGCAGTTCAAGTACATTTCAACATTTTCTTAGATGTGGAAGTAATGGGTGCATTTGTTTCAATAAATGAAGTGTGCGCTTTGAACTGTTGAATTTTCCTCATTTAAAAAAATAAAAAAATAAAAAATATGTATTTGACTTAAATTTGGGGTTTGGAGTTTGATTTGAAGATGATTCTTGAGTGGCTCACTTAACTGGGGGAAGTATATGGAGGGACAGGGAAAATGGGGGTTAAGCAATTTTGCATTGTTATAAATGATGTTGCTGGGTGAACTTGTTTGTTTGGAGACTCATCTTTTCATCCAAATGAAATTAAGTCTGCCCTTTGAACTGTTGAATTTACCATTTTTAAAAGAATATGTAATTGACTTAAATTTGGGGGGTGGCGCGTTTGATTTGGAGATGATTCTTGAGTGGTTCACTTAACTGGGGAAATATATGGAGGGACAGGGAAAAGGGGGTTAACTAAATTTACATTGGATAAACTTATTTGTTTGCAGACTCATCTTTTCATCCAACAGAACGTGTTGCATTTGAAGGAAATGCTCAAATGCTTTGGAAATGAAATGTTCTCCCCCCCATTATTCATCTCACTTGGACGTTTTGTTTCAGGAATCGCCTTTCTCTAATTACCTCAGCAGTCTTTCTCCCATAGGACCCGTGAAGACAGCAATAGTTGTACAAGATTTCCCAGGAATCATTACTCCCCCTCATGTGTTTACATCACCTCGAATCAATCCACGCATCGCGTCCAGCTTTCTGGAAAGGTTTGTGACCTTAACTGTAGGGTTCATTACTTCATTTTGACAAAGATAGGATCATTAGCACTGGTGGCCCCTGCACTTTTAATAACGTCCATTTATATTCTTCATGGAATCAAATTTGCACAAATCATTATAACTTGCATAATTTGGATGCTTTTAGTTCCTTTAAACAAACTTCAAATTAGACCAGCCATATGTGACACTGTCACTGATGTGTGAGAACAGTAAAAATAGATGTAACTCCTTCCTTTCATGGTGTTGAATTTGAGAGATTGAAAGGCTTGGCACCGTGGCTACCAATTAAGCGGGAGCAAAATATGTGAGAAACCAAATAAAGAGAGAATAGGAAAAATATATTATAATAAAATATTACAATAGATCGTCTCTTAGTAGATCCTATATTTATAAGAACACTAGGCTAAACACATTCTTACTAAGAATAGGAAACTAAGCCTACTTCTACTAGGAATAGGACTAGGGTTTCCTATTATTCAACACTCCCCCTCAAGTTGTAACATTTAGGGTGTGTTTGGTTCGCACATGGGAATCGGAATCGGAATGGTTATCAAATACTTGGTATGGTAATGGGTTTTAGTGAAGGTATTTTGCATGTTTGATAGTAGGGTGGAATGGGAATGATGATCAATAATGTTGTTTGGTTATGTATGATCCAATAATGGGAATAAAGATTTTAAAAATACAAGGACACAAAATCAAGACAATTGATTCTAATATAAAGACATCCAAAACACCAATATGAACAAAAAAAACAAAAACAAAAATCTAAAAGCACTAATCAAAGGGGATGAGAAGGAATAAGGGAATGAAAGTGGATGATACCCTTATTTTATTTGGGTATGGGTTTTTCAATTAAGGGGGTATTTGAAACCCATAGTAGTGTTCTAAAAACCTATCAACCAAACAATACCAATCACTTTGATACCCATTCTTTAGAGCTAAACCTGTCAACCAAACACACCCTTGAAGTTCCAAGCTTTGATTAAAACAAAAACGCCACCTTACTAAACATTACAAATGAAGATTAAATGTAGTTAGAGGATAACAGTGCTGGATGGCTTTGGAATGCATGGCACATTTCATGACCCTTGGGAATGAAGATGAAAGCACCAAGGACAAAGCCGAACACAAACAACCTTAAGATAACATGACAACACGAGCACTTTAGGACATACCAAAAAGCCTTCAACACACACAAAACTCAAAAACAATATGCCATTACCCTTTTTGTAACAGAAAGGGGACAGATTTACTGCACAAACCTTACTGTCAGCTCACATCATTATTACATGCAGAATTTAGTTAGCTTGCGATTAGTTTCAGGCAGTTTTGTCAATAGTAGGGACTCAAACATGAAGTTTGAATTGTATGATTAAGGGCTGATTATGCAAATTTTAGTTATATGATCACCAAACATGAAGTTTCTGAAAGCATGGAGGCTAAAAATAGTGAATTAGTGAAAAATTTATAGCATTATAATATAAAATATTTGTAACTAAAAAAACTAATTAACTGAATGGCCTAGTTAGGTTGCTTACACAACTAATTGCATTATAATATCAAATGTTTGTTAGGGGTCCGTTCCTTCAACTGCCCAATGAAGAATTTTCAGTAAAGGATGACAGTCAGAACAATATTTCCACATTGAGAGATCGAGCTGGATCATCAAATACTCAGTTGAACAGCGGATTTGTGCCTCATACTGATAAAGTGTCTGATAATAATAGCCCTGTGCAGGAACAAGCCGAAAGTCAGCCAATATGTGTTGATGATTTCTTAGTTGATGCTGCTAAACTGGGGTCTGTAGATTCTAAAAATTCAAGTCTTCAGCAAGCTGATGGTTTGATAGGTTCAAAGGAATCTGTTGATCTCAAAGGTAAAGAAATTAAAAACAATAATGAGATGGCAACAGGTGATATTAACTCTAAGAAAACCAACGGGAAGAAGAGAGTTGATGATGCTGAATCTGTTCCATCTTCAAAGATGCAGCCTAATTCATCTTTGGAGAACCAGTATGATTATCGTGGCACTAGTGAGGTAAGTATTGATTTATCTGTGCAAAAGCTTGGCATTTGATAATGGTAAGAGTACTGTTCATGTAATTTTCATGTTAACTTCAACAATTTCAGATTACACAATAGAGCAGACTAGTTTGCTATAGTTGGTAGCTCCTTTGTAAATTTGGAAGTTGAGCAGTTTATACAGGATTGTGAAAATTATACTTAGCATGCTCGGTTAACCTGAAATCAGCCAGTTCAGAACAGCTGATATACCTAAATCTATAACACTTAACAATTTCTGAACACTATTCCTCAGATATATTATAGCTGCAAAAGATTGCCTAAAACTTTGTGAATGGAAATTATCATCAGATCCCTTCTTTTTTTTTTAAAAAGAAAAACTATTTTTATTTTTATTTCTTGGTATTATAAGATCCACTCTGCAGTCAAATTATAGAATTACTTGGTAATTAGCAAATTTATGGGTGCTTATGATACTGTGGAAACTTCAGGAGGTAGTTGCTTTCAGTTTTCCAATTCCTATAGGCAGTTGCATCAGCTAAATAAGAAATAGAAAGGTTTTCCTTTTTCCTTTTTTTTTTTTTTTTTTTTTTTTTTTTTTTTTTTTTTTTTTTTGGTACATTGGATATCAATGCACTCTAGGTTATCTTTTTATTTATTTTTATTTTTATTTTTAAAAATCTTTTATTGTTCCTTTCATTCTTGGGTTTTCACTAGAATAGTTGAACAATTAATGTAGGCTGGTGAACACCAACGTGGCGTTTTCAGGCGTTGTCTACAATTTGAAGATGTTCAACCGAAAACAGCTTTAACCCCAGATCCTTGCAATTTGTCAGAGAGTGTTAACTGCTCGAATTCTGCTGTTAGTCCTATTGCTTTAGAGGGTTTAGAGTCATTTCCTTTAAATACACCTACAGCCCAAAGCAGTAAGCAGTTTGGTGACACTCAAAATACAGAAAATTCTTCATTTAAAACCCCCAAGCCTTCCGGTATTGGGTTGCACTTAAATAGCATTGTAAGTACTGTTCAAGGTGGTAGTGGTGCCACTGTAAGCATGAAATCTGCAGAGAGGGGAAACTTCAGTCTACATGGGAAGAAATTAATGTCTATGACTAGTCATTTGGAGAAGTCTAAGAAATGCTTGATTTCATCAAATGTGGGGGAAGACATTTTGGCAAGCATTGAAGAAAGCTCCTTGCAGGGAGAAAGCTCTGCCCCTTTGCCCCTTCATAGTGTGAAACCTATTGATAGCATTGCTTCCCTGAAGCCAATGAAGTGTCTGTCAACTCCTGGTAATAAAAGGAAGTCTAGTTCTGAAAACATTGATGGAACTAGTGCATCTAATCAGTCAAGCCCAAAAAAGAAAAGGCAAGCTTATTTGTAGTCTTAGCAAGTTTTTGATTTATTACTCACTTAAAAAAAAAAAAAACTCCAACTACTGGTTGTGCTATTCAGGAAGAAAACATCTGATGCCAGTGATGGGGATGGTTGCAAACGTTGCAATTGTAAAAGGAGTAAATGCTTGAAACTGTAAGTATGGTTCTTTTGCTTACCTGAGTCTATGTTCTTAATACTATGACTTGTCCCTTAATTTCATTTATATTCAGTTACTGTGATTGCTTTGCTGCTGGAATCTATTGTGCTGAGCCTTGTGCTTGCCAAGGGTGTTTCAATAGACCTGAATATGAAGATACAGTTCTGGAAACTCGGCAACAAATTGAATCTCGAAATCCACTTGCGTTTGCCCCAAAAGTTGTACAGCACATGACAGATTCTCATTCAAATATTGTTGGGGTATTGGATCCTTCTGGATTTTATTTTATTATTGTTAATTTTTTGAAATACCTTGATGTGACTAGGAAAATGTTGGCTCAAACTTATATTACAGGACATTGGTGTCAGTTTCACACCATCCTCTGCAAGGCACAAAAGAGGTTGCAATTGCAAGAGATCAATGTGCTTGAAAAAGTATTGTGAGTGCTATCAGGTATATTTACTGCTAAGTCTATTATTTGCCCTTTTGGACTTTTTAGTTAATCTCAGTAGAATTCTTTTTCCCTGCTTGATCTTTCAAGGCTAATGTTGGATGTTCTAGTGGATGCCGTTGTGAAGGATGTAAGAATGTCTATGGTCAGAAGGAAGGTATGGTTAGCACATTATCCTTGTATACAATATGTCATCGAGACTGTTTTGGATGCTGTCAATTGGTGCATACATTGCTAAAATTGTATGCTTTTGGGTTAACTATATCAAGTGTAACTTTCCTTGATGATTCTTTTGTTTAGTATACAAATTAATACATGGTGCATGAAATAATGACAAGAATGGACATGACAATAGATGTATGCCCTAAAACTAATCAGAGTGACACTTCAAGCATTGTTAATAACTTAATTTCCTCTGCAAATCATATCTTATGGAAGTTTATTTCATTCACATAATTCTATCAATACATAGAAGTGTTTGAAACCTATAGAGTTTATGGAAGATCCCAGTCTTAAGAGTTAAGGATATGAATGGTGTGTGATCTTGGATTCAACTTCCTTTTAAAAACATCCTAGTCTATGGAACTTTTGTTGAGTATTATGGATCCAAGCTAGCAGATTTCTTGCTACCTTATTATTATGTAATGCTAATGATAAGCATGATGATTGACTTGCAATATGCTTGTTACTAAATATGCATACTGAATGTCAGTTATGGACAACAAATCACATGGTATACTATTGTATGCCAATGATTTGCTGTGCATAGTGTAAGTGATCCGAAAACCTAAGATGACAGTTTTGGCTTTAATGTGATATGAATATACTTTACAGGTAGAGGATCTTTCTGCCAATGCTGCTGTTGTTTTATTCTGTTTGCTGGTTTGAGATATTTTCAACATTTTGTAAAGATGTGATGCTTGATTACAATGGTTAAGCATTATGAATGCAAATCTTTTCTTCTCTTGTATTTTATTCCAAATTTCAAATTTCTCTGGACTAAACCAGATCTCTTTACCTTAGCTACTAGTCTACTACTATGTTGTTATTTTAGTTTAGTGACAACTCCTCCTCCTCCTCCCCCCCCCCCCAGTGGCTCCCTTTTTCCCCAAACCAATCCTCCAATGGAATCTGAATCAGCCTCTACATGTCAGAAAGCAATTCTTTCATTCTGGTTTTATTTTGTCTATTTTTTTGACATATGCGCTAGTAGAGATACCAGCCTTGAACGGGTAGGTGATCCTACAACCTTCAAGGTTTTGTGATTTTTTTTTTTAAATCTTCCTTATCACAAAGGAAGAGCAGTGCTCTGATGTTTTACCTCATTGTTAGTTTGCTGCTTGTTTTTTAACGAATGTTAACTTACCAATGCCTATTGTTTTTTTTAAATCTTCTGTCTCACAAAAATTATCCTATCAAAAGGGCTCAGCAAAATTTGGCAACTTTATTTATGCAGTCTTAACCATTAAGTATATTGTATAATTCCATTGTTTCCCTCATATACAAGTACAATATTCTCTTTCATAAATCATTAATGCTAAGAGAAAGGGCTATTGTTGGAAAATCCATTGAATTTTCTTGGAGGATGGTATTTAAATGACTTTCCGAAGTAGAAAGTGGGACACTTCTAATTGAAGATTGAGTATGAGTAGTGTAGTAATATTAGCAGTGCATCTTTATTTAATTGCTTTTTTATTTAAGACTGATGACGGTGAATCTGCTCCTAAGATTTCCTTTGTTCTAAATTATATTTCTTCAGAGTATGGTAGGATTAAGACCTTAGTGAAGAAGCTTGGCACATTTGAACAGACTGAACTCAGCAATCCACACAATCTGACTCCACTGACACCATCATTTCAGTGCTCAGAGTAAATCTCTCTTTTGGTTTAATGCTTTAATTTGTTCTTAATGGATTGAAGAACTATATTAAATTTGTTTACTGTTTGATCTGTTTTATTAGCCATCGTAATGATTCATCAAAGTCTTGGTTTACATCGGGAAGATGCTCTCAGTCACCAGAATCTGGTCATACTCCTCTTATACCACGCTATGAAGTATCAAAAAAGGGATTCACCAAAAGTTCTGATAATCCCGAGTCGATTGAAGAAACTACAGATATTATGGATCTTGTTTCTTTTGATCCAGGGGTGGAAGATAACAATTCAGCAGCAGTAAATGAATACTCACCAGGTGAGATGAACCAACTTGTCGTGTTGCCTAATTCACAGCAATGGGTAAATGACTCAAGGGAACATTTATATGCTGGAACTTGCCATCTTTCATCTACAAGTTCTTTTGGTTGGCGTAGTTCACCAATGACTCAGTATGATGGGACCAAAGAATTTTATGAGTCTATCAACTCTGATAAGAGCTCATTTAATGCGATTGAAGATGACACACCAGAGATACTGAAGGATGCTTCTACTCCACCCCGGGGCGTGAAAGTAAGCTCCCCAAATAAGAAGCGGGTTTCTCCCCCTCATGATCGCCTGAAAGATCCTGATGGTAGCTCATCTGCTCGGCGCCTGAAAGCTGGCCGGAAATATAAATTAGGGTCTGTTCCTTCTTTCCCCCCTCTTACGCCATGCTTTGTTTCTAAAGGCAGCAGTGAAGGTCAGATTAAAAATGATCCTCAGAAACCTAGTAGCAGCACTTGATTCAAACCAGGAAAGGTGGGTAGTATTGCTTTAATTGATGCATGCTCAGTTACAACTATGGTGAAAAAATAGATAATAGCAATACATTGATTTTTTTAGTTTCACATTGAGCTTGATTTATGTTCGCATGAATTATGTGTACTAGGATCCACGGTGCAGTGTTAGCCCTGTGACCTAATTGAAAAGGAGGAGGTTGTCTTGTATTGATCAAACTCAAGTGTCAAATTGAAGATGCTCAAGTTGGTTAGTAGCGCACTTTTTTCTTCATCGTATCTATTGTGATTCTTTATAGCCTGCAGCAATCGGTTTTATATTAGTCGATATATATGCTGCTGTATTATTTCTACAGTTGTAACTGATGATAGCAGGCAACATTGTACCTTTGCTTAGAATGAATAGTAATGAATGCTAAACCAATTTCCCAATTCCTTTCCCATGTTGGATTTTAGATGCTAGGGAATTTTTATTTATTTATTTTTGAATATAGATAAAAAAGCACTTGGGCTCAGATTCTTCAGCTAACTATTGTGTATGCCATGATTGAGTTGGAGCTTAAATTTTGGCTTCATCTGAGTTTGATAATAATGTTTCTGTACTTCATATATGGTGTTAATTTATGTTCTGTAGTTTCTATTGCCATTATTATTTGAAATTTGAGTTAATTCCAGCAATGGTCCCCCCGAGTATGGTGATTTTTCACAATTGGTCCCCGTCTTTTAATTTGGACAATTTAATTTCATGACTATTAAAATCTTTCCAATTGTGGTCCTTCTGTCAGATCTGGTTAAGTGGATGTCAATTTGAAGGGTAAATGCGTCATTTTCCGTATTGAGTGTATATTTCATCACCATTCTTGTCTGAATTAGTGTGTCCACGTCGGAAACGATGCATATCTCGATGAGAAATCTCAGGGGACATGTGATCTTGTAAATATTGATGTTTTTAGAATCCAAAATGAAAACCTCTTCGGCCGACGAAACCTCCATAGAGTATGGCTCAACTCCCAATTTGTTTCCATCAACCAGATGGTCTTTAATGGCTGCTATACAGGACAAACAGACAAAAGGGAAAATTCTTAAAAGGCTTCTCTTCTCACTTGATTCCATTTAAGATTTTAGCGACACCAACCATTTGAAAAGAGCAGTGACAACATTCGTGACAACTCCACAGACCACTTCTGCATACATACGTAAAACAAATGAAAAAAAAAAACCAATAAAAATCCAAACTTGGCCACTTGGGTCATGACAAGAATGCAAAACACACTTACTTGCAGTTGGGGTTGCTGAAGTTGACGAACATCCAGGAATGAAAAATCCCGCCTGTGGTCTCCATCACCACGTCATTACGCTGGACAACAACTATTACCAACGACCACCACCATCTGTCGTCATTACCGCCCAGCCACGCAGTCCACGTGGTATGCTCTACTGCACCGTCGACAAAGAGAAGACAGAAGAGGAGAAGAGAGGGCGTGAGGGGGGAGGAGGAAAGTGACAGAGGTCTATGGTTTTGTCGCCGGAGAAGAGGAAGAAGATGGAAAGAACAAAGATAGTGAAGAGGAAGGGCTGCCAGTTGTGAGCTATGGGGGTTGCCGGCCATGTCCCCCGGGATTTCTTGTCGAGATATGCATCGTTCCGGCGTGGACATAATAATTCAGACGGGAATGAAAATGAAATATATGCTAGGGAAAATGACGCTTTTACCCTTCAAATTGACGTCCACTTAACCTGGATTTGACGAAAGGACCACAATTGAAAAGATTTTGATAGTCAAGTGGTTAAATTGTCCAGATTAATAGTCGAGGATCAATTGTGGACAAATCACCATACTCAAGGGACTATTGCTGGAATTAACTCTTAGAAATTTAGTAATGGAGTGTGGTTGTCTCTAAAATCACTTCTGCACATGCACATATATAATGTTTACTCATTAAATATGTAACGGTGAGTCACTTAAATTTCGTGAGACAGGTCGGTTTAGATAGGAATGTAATATTTCATCCATTCCATTTTATTTGTCGAGTTCGCTTAACGAGACTTGACTGAAGTTATTTACAATTTATTTTTTCATAATATTAAGTTTAAAATTAGAATGTAAAATTTATATATTTAAAAACTACATCAAAAGTACTACGGAGTATTAAACACAAAAAATTAAATTTAAAAATCATTAAAAATGCTAATAGAAATAAGCAAAGAAGAAAGATTTGGTTTGACCAATTAATAATAAGTAGGACAGATAAAATGGGATAGATCGAATACTAAATTAGAGATAAATTGATTGTTAGTTATAAGAAAAAAAATGATACGTCTGATTAAAAATGTAATATTTTAAAATTAAAATGTACTCTGTAATATTTAAAGGTTAAAAAGTAACTTATGAAAAAAAGTGCAATACTAATAAGGGATAAATAAATTAACTGATTATTACTAGTGAAGGAAATTGTAATACTTATGAAAAATTCAATGTGTCATGAATAAGAATCTATGAGACGATTTTATAGGTGATTTTGCCAATATGTAATGTTAATACATTTGATCACTATATCATCTTTCACACACTATTTATTTTTAATATTCAAATATTGTTGAGCTCTACACATATTTGAAAGAACTAATTCTATTTCTAATTAGATTATAATGATATTTTTATTTTTTATTTTTATCATCAATTCGATTATTTTGTCTCAAAAGATGTCTAAATCTAGACATGACTGTCTATCTAATTGACCAATAATATCATAATATAATTACTATAATTACACTATTTTATCCCCTCAAGGTTTTCATTAAAAAAAAATTCAATTAAGAAACTAATGGACTTGGGGGCAATTTAACATAATAATAATAATAATAATAATAATAGTAATAATAATAATAATAATAATAATAATAATAATAATAATAATAATAATAATAATAATAATAATGTTCCATTTTGTACATGTGAAGCTGGATGCAAAAAATGGAGAAGAAATGATGTGATGGGGCTAATAGTACAAATCCAAAACCCTAATAATTCACTTACTAATCTCATCATGTGAATAAAACTACTAATGTTAGTGTACAACAAATGGATATTATTATCAGATCCTTAAAAAACCCACAGTGATTTTATTATGATAAACAAAAAAAAAAAAAGAAAAACCATATTCTACAGTATGCAAGTATACCATAACCCATCCTCTCTAAACACTGTTTTTTTAATCTCTATTCCTTCTGCTTTGCTTTTCTTCATGACTTCAAAATCACGCCCCGTCGAGCCCCAAATTCGCAGCGAGCCAGCGACAGAGTTCATCGGTTTCCTCGGGAGCTGTGTAGTGACCCAGCCTACAACGAAACGAAGGGGCTTAACGTTAGTTAGTGAGTATTAGCATTCGGAAATAATTACAGTTGCTAAATATATCATGAATTCCCACCCGTTATATGTCCTGAATGTGAGATTCTGAAAGCCGGCTGAGACTAAGGTCCGTGCAGATTTCTCCCCGTGTTTATATTCGACCACATCATCACCTGAACACAAGAAAGAAAATCCATGACCCAATAATATATGTACGATACAAGTTATTATGATGATTGGTTCCAAAATAGACGGGAAAGCTTGGGAAAACAGTTGTGTTTTTTGTTCAAATTAAGGTTCTTCTGCAGTATCAGTGCGCCATCGTTCCCTACCTCTCCCTAGGATTCATACAGTAAAACATCACGGGTCCTATTGTCATTGCTCCGGGTTGCCTAGAAGAAATTCGCACCAACTTCTACCCACTATGACCAAAAACTCCTCAGAAGAATGTAATGCAGAGTTTAAAAGTTAATAGGCATTTTCCTCCACCGTCCAAAAATCAAATTTTTTTTTTTTGGTTAGACCACGAGGTGTCCTGAGCAGGCCCTAACTGTAGGAGGCACCTTTAAGCCAGTACCATACTCAGATTAATCCTCGTTCGCACCGGGCTGGCCCAAATAAGGAGCAAACTACTGGCCAGATTGGTTTTTTCATACGAGAGGGGATTCGAACTCCCGACCTCCCTTAAGGGACAAGAGTGCACGGCCACTTACGCCAACCAAGCTGGTTACCGTCCAAAATCAAATTTAAATGCTCAGAAATTCACAAGCTAACACATGGTTTGCAAACATATTTACTAATGAGAAAGAAAAAAAAAAAGAGGATATCACACAATGGGTAGAACAAAGACCCTAAAATCACCGTAATATCGGTTCATTACCCTGTTCTAACGGTCTAAAATGATAATTAAGAGTCTTTGACCCTTTAGAGCCATGTTAGAGATACGTAAATAAATAAGGCAGCTCACTTGATTTCTAGAAATAAATTTACCTGTGCCGTGACAAATTAGAATCGGTAATGATGCTGCACGTCGCCCAGCTCCATTTAATCCCCCCATTCGGTTTCTTAGAGTCCTGGAAAAAAAATCCATTTGAAGGAATTAGTTCCAGACCGACCAATTGAAGCATGTGCTCCATCTCAACTAAAAGCCTAAGCTGATAATTGGATTGCACATTTATGCTTATATGTGTTATATGCTCAACACGACCGACCGACCAAGAATATGGATATGGAGCTGTTGCTAAAAATTTGCGGGGTATAAGTAAAACTATACCTCGAGCAAGGAAGCCAACCGCTAAGACCAACAATTACACTCAAGTTCACCCGATACGGGCTTCCATTCCCATATTGTCGCAGAGCATGGCATGTTGCGGAGTAAAGAGCCATTGCAGCTCCCATACTAAATCCCCCGACACCTAATTTAACTGTACAATGCATATGCAGTTAAGTTAAGAACAACTATAGTACATATTATTCGGTCCGTAGATCACTTATCCACCCATAATACCATATACTTTCATGTATCCGCTTGTTTCGAAAAACTTACCATCAGATGGTTCAGTAGACAATAGATTTGCAATATGTGCTGCTGAAGCATCCAAACCCTCCAAATCATCAGGACCATCTTCTGAAAGATCTCCCGCGTCAAACCCTAATGTATAAAATAAATAGAGGATCAGGGGTCTGAAATCCACCGTGTAACCACTTAGTATCTAAGGTGGTGATTATAAACGAACCCGAAAAAAAAAAAAAAAAAAAGAAGCTCATAAATGACTCTTACAAGCAGTGCAGGGGAATCCACCAAATGCAGCAACAGGTCGAGTTGGAGCAGTTGGGCAAATCCATTTGATCTGTATTGCATTGTCGTCATTTGATAAGCATCGAGCTTTTGATCATAGTATAAACTAGCACCCCATGCCCGTGATGCACGGTTCATTTCATATTAAAAGAAGAAACTAATAACAAAAACATTCTTACATTAGGAAGTGGAAGACTCTCAAAAAGCTGGGACCAACTGCACGGCAAAAAATATAAAGAAAACATTAACCTTAGCAGCAGCTACTTAGGAAGAAAAGTGAATGAATTTAAGAAAATATGGCTGCTGAATAGTGAATAACAGGTGGCAGAAGCTTTTTTAGGATCTGAGAAACCTTTTTTTTTTTTTTTTTCCATACAAATTACAGAAAAATAAAAGTTGGGTCATAATCATCCATTTAACTTTGGGACCACATAGAACATGAAAAGCAAGTACTTAAAGGAGGTCTATGCAATCTTAAAAATCATATAGTATACAACATTTAAAAAAAGAAAAAAAGAAAAAAATTATTTGTTTCATGTTATATGAAAAAATTAATTCCAGAATCCATAAAAACTAAAAATTGAGTTGAAAAGACAAATCATGAAGTGAACTGTGGTCCCCCCTCAGAAACAACAGAAAGGCTGGAGAGAATGACTGGCAACAACATTGCATCAAGTGACAAAAACAATTTCTCTTGTATTGATAGAAAAAGAGAGAATATTCTATGAAGGTCAACAGCTTAGGTGATCCAACTAATATAAAGAAATTAGTCAAAGATTGACATTTCTTACCCTTTCAGTCTTTAATCTTATAGAGAAAACAATATAAACTAGTGGCAGACATTATGATGAAATAAAAGAGCCAAAGTTTAGCATGGTTATCGTTATGAGCAACATACTAATTAGTAATTACACAAAATGCAGATGAGAGGTTATCAATAATACTTGGCCTACATCTCGTCAAGTACAGTACAAAGAAAAGGAAAAAGGTTTAGGCAAGATGGACCGTTGAAACCATGTAAAAGATAAACAACGCATCCATTGATAATAAAAATGATTTCCAAATTCCAATTGATGAATAAATTTGTCGATCTTGTCACTTGATTGATAATATTTGGAATTAAGGATATTACACTAACAGCACTCTATTTGAGATTAAGAATGTTAGCTCCAATTAGTAAAGGCAATAATATCTTGAGCCCACCAGTGCCCATTGGTTCAACTGGCCAAGGTGAGGCCTACTAAACCTAAAGTCAAGAGTTAAAGCCCACCATTCCACTTTTTTTTTTTTTGAGTACTCAATGTAGTATCTGTTTATAACTACTTTCTCAACCTACTGAAACACAAAGAGTCAATACAGCCTCCACTGAGGATCAAACCCATGATTTCCCATTTAGGAGAGCCACTTCGTGCCACTAGACCAGAAGGTCATTGGCCCCGCCATTCCACTTTAACATACCAAAATAACAATAACAATACCTTGAGCCTTTATCGCCAAGACCATGTAGCCAGACAATAGTTGCCTGATGCTTCCCTTTGGGCCTCACCACATGTGTCCTCCCAAACTCGAATGCCCTTTGTGCTGCTCTGCTACCTGAGAAAGGTTAGAACTTAGAACACACAGGACCATCTATATAATCATCAAAAGAGATCCACATTTTACGTATTTGCAGAAAAGAGGAAAGAACTAACCCGAAGAGCCACCGAAGCTCATGGTTTTGGATTTCGATAGGCGCTTGATTGAATACAGAACAACCTTTCACCAGAATGTATTAACAAAAGCACTTTCAATGTTCACAAATCACAAACTAGCTATCTCTCCTATTTATAACCATTTTAGAAGGGTGGATGTACAATACAACCATTAAATGGACGCGGCAAACACCAGTTACACCCGGCCTAAAACTTCCTAAAAGCTAATCTGAAAAAGGAAGGAACCCAAAGAGCAGAATGTCAAAAAAGGACAAAAGGGCTTTACACTTCTGAAAAACACTAGAATCCACCCAGATCAAAGAAACACCATTATCCACCGTAGGTAAGTTTCCAATGAATCCATTGAGACTTAATAAGAGAATCAAATTCTTTTACACAGACTGAAAACGAAAAGCACTCCAACTAAACCAAGAATATTTCAAGAAAAAGATTATTCTCATTTTCACATTCATTTGCACAACAAAATGTGGCACCTGCTCAACTTCTAGCTTAACTCATTGATACCCATTAAGGGGAGTCCATAGATAAAAGCAATAAAACATGCGAATACGTACTTTCAGATATAAAACAAATCTTTACCTATGAAAGGAATATGAGTGGGTTTAAGCTTTTTGCACCAACCTGGAGTTAGGGTTTTAGACTTGCCAAAAAGAATTGTTTTTTTTTTTTTTTTTTTTTTTCTTTGCTTTACTATTATTCTTGCTTTTCCACTTTCCTCTTCCACCGTTACATATCAATTCTTCATATGCTCTAGCTGGCTGTCCCTAGTGAGGATCTTGAAAGAGTAGAAGCCTGGAAAGTCCAAAATAAACAATTTTCTGCTTTTTGATACTGTTCCATAAGACCAAAATGCCCTGCAAATATAAGAACACTACTCTCTCCTTGTTATTCTGAATTCAACACATGTAATTATCAAATACGGAGTAATAAATTACATGATGATATGCCTGATTGTATGGTCGACCTGGAGTGACTCTCTCAAGTGGAAAATCAGGGTTTGAATGATATTACATTATAAAAGAGTCGTTAGTACTCAATAAAAAAAATACATTTTTTACTTATTTTTTTCCTATTAAATATGATGACAAAATTGTAATTTCACCGATTTGCAATATCATCAATAAAGTTAAATCCACCACATCCCATTGACTTTAGTGCATTTTCATTTTAACCTCTTGACTATCTTCTAAAAAAAACCTCTTAACTATTAAGTATCTTTGACTTTACAAAGATAGTCATCCCATGTCAATTATAAATTTTTATGTTTATCTTGTGTCAAATATGATGATAACATTATAATTTTCACTCATTTATGCCAATGAATTATTGTCACTTTGACCCTTCAATAGGACCTAGGTAGTAAAATCTCATTTACTACTTCATTATCTCATTGCATATGGTATTCTCCTCCATTACAATGGACTTTACTCTTCACAATCTCTGTATATTCCTCAAATCTAGTCACAATTTGCAACATATTCTAAACCTTAAACATCACTTTGATCCAATGGAAGAAAGCCTTCAACAATCAACTCATATGAAAGATAATGTTCACTGCATTGCACAAAGAGTGACATTTTGATAACTCTATTAGCACCGAAAAGTAGGACTCGAATATAATACTAGCATGTCTTACTACAAACACTAACTAAGATTCTAAACCTTAAACATCACTTTGATCTAATTGAAGAAAGTCTTCAACAATCAACTCATATGAAAGATAGTCTCCACTGCATTGCACAAAGAGTGACATTTTGATAACTCTATTAGCACCGGAAAGTAGAACTCGAATATAATATTGGCATGTCTTTCTACAAACACTAACTAAGATTTTTGAACTCACATACCTAGAAAATTAATCAGATTAAATATGATGTTACAAAATTAATTCTTAGATAAAAATTGAAATTAATCATAATTAATTTCATAACTGATCATAATTAACTCACATTTCTAGTACGTTGTATGCAACAAATGAGACACAACAATACGAGTTTGAGAATAGTAAGAGTGTTATAACAATACGAGTTTTGCAAAACCCATGTCGCTGGGAAAAATTAAAAAATTACGCAAAACCCATGTTGTTGGGAAAAATTTAAAAATTACGCAAATCCCATGCTGCTGGGAAACATTTGAAAAATACGCAAAACATTAACTTGTCTACGCTGAACAAGGCAAATTATTGTGTGGACCATGGTCTACACAATGTTGTGTGAACCATAACAAAAAGTACATTTTAATATACTAAATGTACATTATTTGTGTACAGAATGTACATTATACAATATAATGTACACTCAGTACACAAATAATGTACATCCCCTGAATACAATGTACATTTTTAATATACTAAAAGTATATTATTTTTGTACTGAATGTACATTATTTTACACTATACAAAATATGATCCACACAACTTGTGTGGACCATGGTCCACATAATAATGATTGGCTGAACAAACTACACGCCCAGGTAAACGAGTCCAAATTTTTTGGGCTCATTTTGTGATGCCCCCACCCCCTGCCCACGAGCTGAGAGAGATCATTCTATACTATACAATCAACATCTTCAATATACTAGTGCAAACCAATCGTTATGCCATGGAACTGTGTTCACCATTCATAGTGAACACGGTTCCAAACGGGTAGGTACCGTTATCTTCCACCAATTTTTTTTTTTTTTTTTTTTTTTTAACAGCGCGACTTTTCTTCTTCATATTCACATTTTGCGGTTTCACTTTCTCTTCGCGCAAGTTTCTTCAACACTCATAAATTATGAATGTGCAGGCATGGATTTATGAATGTGCAGTTATGAAATTATGAATTTTCTGTTATGAGATTATGAATGTACAGAAAACTCATAATTACATAACTGTAAATTCATAATCTCATAACAAAAAATTCATAATTTAATAAATGTAAATTCATAATCTAAACATAGAATGCAAAACGCCGTTAACAGCATATTAATTAAAATTGTTTTCTTCGGTAAAAACGATGCCGTTTGGGACAGTGTTCACCAAACATGGTGAACACGTTTCCACGGCATAATTTGCGAGTGCAAACACACACTTTTTTTTTTTTTTTTTTTTTTTTTGAATACACACACCCCTTTTTAAATGTGGAAGAAAAGTTACTTTTTGTTTTTATTTTTGTTTTTTTTGAAAGCAATAAAAAGACTATTTAAAAATCTTCCCAACTCCATTTTTATCAGTTCAAATAGGTATACTTTAAGAATCAATTTGTTATTTACATATTATCCAGCTTGACCCGACTCAAATAGAAAGTAGACCGCACTAAAAATTATACCATAAGTTAATTTTTTCAACATTCATTGACAATATTGGTGACAATCAAAGGCTCCTTGAATGTCCTTCATTGGTTTCTCTCTAAAATGTCAAAATAGTTTGTTATTTCAAAAAAATTCAAATTTACAACATTACTCATCTTTGACGCCAAATAAATGGAAAAACTAAGAGTCGAGAACATCTAGTGGTTATAAATTAGGGGTTAAAGTGGAAACACATTCAAATCAAGGGGTATGGGGTACGTGGAGTTAACATTGTTTTATTTTATTTTATTCAAACGGCATGTGAAAATTACAACACTACCCACATATTTGACACCAAATGAACAAAAAAGATAACAAAGGTTAAAGGGCATGAGATGACCGTTGGAATTTTTACTTTAAAAATGGTATTTAAGCGACTATTTATACAAATATATATGAGGTTTATTTTCGATTTAGGTCGGATCAAGGTGGATTTGCACTCTTCGTAGTTAGATGAAGAAATTGATATACTATACGCTCAAAACGGATAATGGGTGAATGAGAAATTTATTCTCAAAATAGACTCATTTGAGTTAGAAAATAAAAGTGGAAAGACTTTGTAAAATGCATTTGGTCCACATTGATTTGGAAAGTGGGTTTGCACCACTATATATACAAGAGCCTTTAAAAAAAATGTTAAATTGTAAAGCATAGATGTTCTCTCTTGTGCGTAATGCTCTTAGTACCTTCACACTGGGAGGAGACTTTATATATATATATATATATATATATATATATATATATATATATATATATATATATATATATATATATATAGGGTAGGGTTCCAGTGAGAACATGAGAACACATCATGTGCATCCATCTAATATTTTTTAATGGTATAGATTAAATTAAGTGTGTGCGAACGCACATTAAATGTGTGCAAATACACTTAATCACGTTTGCACACATTTAATGCGCGTTCGCACACACTTAATCTAATCTAGACCATTAAAAAATATTAGATGGATGCACACGATTTGTTCTTACGTTCTCACCTAAGCAGGTGTTCTCATATGATCTTAAATATATATATATATATATATATATATATATATATATATATATATATATATATATATATATATATAGATCAATGCACAAAAGATAATCTAAATTTGAATTTCTTGAAGAGTTATATTATTAGAGTTAATTTTACCTAATGTCCCTTACATAATATTTTTCACTTTAACCCTTTGACCATAAAAATAATTATTATATATATATATATATATATATATATATATATATATATATATAGGGGCGAGTTCAGGTGCGGCAGTGTCTTACGGTGCGGCAGTGCGGCAACACTAATAGTTCAACAAATATGCACCATCAACGTTAAGAAAATACACCACAAAAAGCAGAGTAAACAGAGCCCCGCATCACCAAACACACACCATTAGGTATGAATAAAAACACCATATACTGTTCGGAAATACACCATTGGGGGTGGTGAGTTATATGGTGTATTTTTTTGAGTCTGTTGTGTATTTTGTGATGATTTATTGCATTTTATTGTGGTGTATTTTTCTTACACTGTTGGTGCATATTGTTAACACTGTTGGTGTATTCTGGAATTCCACCGCACCGCCGCACGGGAAGACCCCGTCGCATTTGAACTTTATTCTATATATATATATATAATTTTTTTTTTTTAATGGGAGTCCACATCCATCTAATTGGTGTTCTAAATAGACATCTCCTAACATTTTCAAATAATTAAACACCTTACTTCGCAAAATAAATTTTGGTAAACAAATATCGATTCAATGTGTGGAATTACTTCTCTTTCCTATCATCCATAGAGCTTTATGCTGTGCAACCATGTGCACCATGTAAGGTGCACACAAAATTGGATCCATAATTTCTATGCTATATTCATAAGTTTTATACTATAAATTCATAATTTCTAAAATGTAGATTCATAATTTCTATACTATAGATTTATATATAATTTCTATACTATAAATTCATAATTTCTAAATTGTATAATTATCAAAATTATGAACATATAGTTCAGTGATTTGTGAATACAAAGTTCAACAATTGAGAATATGAACATTGAAAATTATGAACATAGAGTTCTATAATTGTGAATATAGAGTTCAATGATTATAAATCTATAGTATATAAATTATGAATCTATAGTATAAAAATTATGGATCTATATTATAGAAATTATGAATCCAATTGCATGGTGCACACGGTTGCACAACATAATTTGCCATCATCCATCATTACGTTCAACCACACATGGACATACATACATACATACACGAAATTTATATTTGCAGTGCCCAAATTAAAATAGAAAATATACATATAATTACCATCGTTTTCGATCTATATATCAGAATCCATTACTATACAACAAATAAATGAATATGGACTCAGCACCCACAGAAGCCATATATGGAACGTAAATGGTGTTAAGAATAGTTGATTTATCATTCATTACGTCTACATTCGTCCCACAAACATCTTAGTTGTTAGTTGCTGCCATTTGCACTGGAGATAAGAATACTTTTTGAGACGCATGGATATGGCTATCGTCACTCCAACACCCACCGGTAAAAATTCAAACCTGCAGAGCAACCCTAACAAAATTAGTTAGGATATAGGCATATAGCGGGACTATCGGTCTTCTTAGTTTGAGCCAAAAAATTATTGACAATTTAATTTAGATATGTAAAAATTGTAGTTGTCTTGTAGCTAATTAGTTCCACTTCGTAATAACTTTGACTTTCATGTATGAAAATTATATTCTGCCCACTCATGACTCAACCAGCCTTTTAAAGAGAACCACATGAATTATCTTTTAATCATATGACAGATAAACAAGGGCAAAGATGTGAACTTTGATTTTACCAAGGTTCTCTTTTTCTAGGAATTCTGTGAATTGTCTTTTATAGCATGTTTGGTTCAAAAAATAAATTCTAGTCTAGGAGAATATAAATCTTCATATTTCATACAGAATGGAATCACAATGAATATATAACAAAAGTTTCATTGCATTGTTTGGTTCGGGGAAGTAATAGACTTCAATATTGTATTATTGTATTTGATTAAATTAAGAGATACAAATGCAATAAGCATTTAAAAGACAATACTATCCTCACACCAATAAATAAATACATACATACATACGTTTGTATGCATTTACGAAGGCCGGGTCTCATTTGATATATATATATATATATATATATATATATATATATATATATATATATATATAGGAGAAGGATCAGGCGAGAACCACATGCTCAGGAAAGGAATGAAAACTCATCGCATTCGTTTATCTGTTCCGATCTAACGGATCAGAAACACTATTTTGTTTAAATAATACGGTGATAATTTCGTAAGTAATTGAACTTTGAAGTGCAAGTAAATTATTTTAAAAGTGCAAGTAACAGTTTCATAGAGTGCACCTAAGTATATGTAAAATGTGTTAAAAGGGCAAATATATAGGGGGCGCGCTTAGGTGAGAACGGATGCCAGGAGAGGAATGAGAACCACTTTTAATACATTTTACTTGCACTTAAGTGCACTCTTTGAAATTGTTACTTACACTTTAAAGTGCAATTATTTATGAAAATGCCACCGTATTTTTTTTATTTTAAAAGTAGTGTTTCTGATCCGTTAGATTTGGATAAATGGATGGTTGCGATGAGTTTTCATTCCTTTCTTGGGCATGTGGTTCTCACCTGATTCGTCTCATAATATATATATATATATATATATATATATATATATATATATATATATATATATATATATATATATATATAGAGTTAGGTTCAAGTGCGGCAGGGTCCTCCGTGCGATGGTGCGGCGTCACCAATAGTTGAGCGATTATACACCATCAACGTTATGAAATGCATCACAAAAACACACACAAATTAGGTTCGCATCACCAAAAACACACCGTTAGGTGTGAGTAAAAGCACCATACAATGTTCGGAAATACACCATTAGGAGTGGTGAGTTATATGATGTATTTTTTTTTGGGTGTGTTGTGTATTTTTTGGTATATTTTTACATTGATGGTCACCAGTAGCGATTGCCGCGTCTCATCCGCTGCCTTTAGCTGACGTTCATGATCAGTCAGTACGTCCGCCAATTCACCAAAGGAAATCGGCTTTTCACGAACACGAACGACAGATATAATAGAGTTGTACTCCTCCCCTAACTGATTTAATATGTAGACAGTTAGATCCTCATCCGAAATTGGACACTGAGCCAGTGCAAGATCATCAGCTAAGGCTCGCATGTCATTGAGGTAAGACGTAATGGACCGAGAACCTCTCAGATTTTTCGTGAGCTTGGCCTTGAGGGATATGATACGTCCTCGAGAGGCACTGACGTAACTAGCAATCAGACATTGCCAAACATCATGGGCTGTCGTAGCCGAGGAGATGAGGGGCTGTATGGTGTCAGTACAACTACCGAGAAGTGCACCGACAATGATTTGGTCTTGACGATAACAAATTAGATGGGCTGGGTTAACGGCAGTTTGAGCAGTATCAGTGAATTTGGCGGGTTCCTTGGTGGTACCGTCGATGTAACCCAGGAGATTAAGCCCAATAAGTGTGGAATGGACTTGGCGTCTCCACACTGGGAAATTCGTGGTAGTAAGTTTAATGGGAACGTTTCTAGGGGCATTCAGTTGGATTATATCGTTTGTGGCTGTAGCAGTGGAAGCCATGTGGGTAGGAGAAAAAAACTGCATAGGAGATTCAAGGCTCTTGATACCATGTATAGATTATAAACTGTACTTCATTGATGTAAAATAAGGAGCTATATATAGTGTTCACGTGAGAGAGAATAGTAGGAGGTTGTAACAACTTGTTCAAACACACATATCTTACAGGAGCATAACTATCACAAATATAAAGAGATAAAATGTCAGCCACACATATCCTTAACACTTACCAAACAGCAAAATATTTATATTTTGAAAATACTGATATATTCTATTAACCAAACACGTTGTTAATGATATAGTACGCAGACATAGTTATATGATGCATCATAAATCGGGTAATGACAGTAATTTTTAAATGAGTATTTGTTGATTATATACTAGTTTTTGTTTGGATAATTTATTGAAACATCTCCTTTTTACCATCTTTAATATCCAAAAGATAAATTATTGAAAAAATAAAGAGTTTAGCCGCTGATAATAGGAAAAAAAAGTTATGCCATATGTACAAAAAGGTAATAATAAAATCAAAATAATTATTGGAATTGATTAGCTAATGACTTTTCAAACATCATTTTGAGTATGCTTTCAAAAGTTAGTATAAGTGTTTTTTTGAAACACTTGATCATCAAATAACTCCAAAAAATAAAAAAAGAACTTTTCATATATAAATTATATATAGGAAAAATATTATTTAGCCTCTTTTTATTATTGTGCAGCCAATTTTGTCTTGTTTTATTTGTGAATTAATTTCAAACAAAGACTCATTTTGTCAAAAGATCTATTCACTAATTGGCAATTCGAACCAAACAAAAAATAATCTTGATCGCGACACAATCACATCGGTATAGGCTATATTCGATCTTCGACATGATTCACTTGTTTGAAAGAAAATTTAGCATAGAATTTTGTGACAATATTTGTTTATTTATTTTTTGAAAAATGGAAATATTTATTAATAATTTTTTAATGTAATTCCATATCATTATTTAAAAAATTATAATATGAACGCTAAATGCCAACGGTAGATTGAAGAATATATTCTTCGACATGATTCACTTTTTGATATATAAAACTTTTAATATGGAAACTTGTGCTATCGAGAGGTTCACATTAATTCACATTGATCACATAATCAACAAAGCTAATATAAGGTAGTGATTGGTTGACTAAATTTCCTTATTGGATTTCTATGTTTTAACTTTATTCTTATTTGCGCAATCTAGATTATGTTTGATCGATGACAATATACGAATAGTTTAATTTATCTGATTTATAATAATCTATAAGTTGGTTTTATAATCACTTTTATGATAAAATATAGAAAAGTTTCTTCATAAGAAAAGTGAAATTTCAATTAAGTAATCTGTTGACAAGAAGAATATTTCATGATTTCAAATCTCAACCACCTGCATGTGTGCTTCACAACTCAAAAGAAACATATTTGCTTCACAAGTTTTTGAATATTCCGATTTTATCATTAGTTTGTTCGTATGTGTATATATAAAGATGCTACAGTTGTTTGATCATATGATATATGGAGTGTACATTCCATGTGTGAGTTCTTGTCAGTTGTCATTTTTATGACAACATTCTTAGCTGGTGCGTGAATAATGAGGTTGTTAGTGATGGGTCATTAACAAGAGAATTTATTGATTTGTTGGAAAGCGCGCTGTAAAATTACAATATACTAATCATGGTTGGAGTAGGCGCTAGGCGCTAGTCGGGAGCCCGGACAACGCCTAGTGCCTAGGCAGAATCTAGGCGGCGCTAGGCGGGCGCCAAAAAAACAGTGGCAAACTTGCAGTTTAACAATTTTAATGAGGCTGTTTTCAACATTCAATCAAATAACACATCCAAATAAATGAAATAATGATAATTCATAAGTCATAACATCAAAACAATATTAAAAATTAAAAATAGTCAAATATAAAATACTCAAATACTTCAATCATCCAAAGATTCAAAGTATCAAACTAGTTTATGGGTGTATATGTCATATTATATATAGGTATGTATATATGCACGCGCGCACACACACACACTCACACACACACACACACACATATATATATATATATATATATATATATATATATATATATATATATATATATATATATATATATATATATATATATATATATTCACTCATTATTCACGCACCAGCTATAGATTTTGAATCCGGTGCACACCCCCTAGTCAGTCGAGTCCGTGAGCTCACTCCCTGGTCGTTGATTTTTAATTTTCAACGCATAAGATTGTTTGCATTTTAATTTCACGTGATGTTGAGTTTATATGAAGGCAGGGTCATTTTTGTCATTTGTCACGGTCTTTATTACTTTCCATTAAATATTTCCGTTGTTTGAATGGGCGTGCAGCGTTATTTTTGGTCTTCGAATCAATTTTAAAGATTTTCTCACTCCTTGCTGTCTCTTCAGTTGCTCTCTCATCGGTTTCTTCTCCGCTCAGCGTTGCAAGTGAAGCCAGCCTCCTCCGTTTTGGCAAGCTCGTTGCCTCTCCGGTGCCGCTTTGCCCGTGGTAGGATCTTCTATCAGGCATTCTAATCAATAATAGGGCAGTTCTTCCGTTCTTTTTTGTGTGGTTTTCCTCTCTTGTTTTGTGTTGCTGTACATATTGCGTTTTCCGGCGTGAGAGGCCGTGCCAGCGTGGGTTTTTAGAGCAGGTGAACATTGTTTTCAGAAACTTTATCTTTACAACTCCTTTTTGTTCTCACTGTTCTCTGAACTTATTATGTTTGTGCTTTAAAAATATAATACTCTGTGTACAGTCAGAAATTGTAGTGAACTCATCTTTATCATGCCTACTAAATTCAAAATCGAATGGTCAATGTGATGGATCAACATCATCATTTAGCCAGGTAATGTTCCAGACTTGCGGTCTTCTTGCATTTGCCTTTGACAGAGTTTATCATATTAAAACAACTTATAAGCTTTAACTTTAGGCCAATAGCTATTAACTGAATGCTGATTCACCAAAGGGGCATTTAGAGGCCGATTTCCTGAGCTGTAAAATCTTGCTTAGTAACCTCTAGATTGCTAACTGACGTGATAATATTATATGCACCATTTCTATATGTCAACACTCACATTAACTAAACCGAAAATGTGATGGATGACATAATAGATATGTTACCCTTCTTTCTCAAAGTGGACTTTGTTTGCCTTAGGTTCTAACATTGTTTCCTTATGTTCATGCTAATTATAGTTTTTGATTGCTGATGATGCCAAATACATATATTCCTTTTTGCATGCTTTACTGTAGACTTGTTGATAAACAGAAGTACTAATCTGTCATTTTTTTTTTTTTGTTATGCATCACTATCATAATGACCGAATATGGCGTGTTAATATAGCTTTGTAATTTTTAAGCCGCTCCTAGCAGAAATGGGTTCTCTTATACTTTGGTGGAACTTATTGGCATACTATCCAATATTGTTTTGACCCATGTTTTCTTCTTTTCTTTCATTATTGTTTTGTTTCTGAATAGTGTCAATTACTCAATATAAGTTATTGCTCACCAAGACACCAACTAAGGAAGATATAACATAAGGGAAGTGTTTGGTAATCTTCCATATGCATATAAGCCTGCCACATGAACTACCTATTTTGCTCATGAAAATCTCACTTCATATGGTCGTTAATTACAGGTTGTTGTGGCCTATAATTCACTTGGATGGAATCGTATTGATGTCATCAAGATATCAGTAAATGCATGCCCTTCTTCTTCTTTTAAAGTTATCAAAAAGAAAGATTGATTCTAATTTGAAATGTTTGGATTTAATTGGAAAACTACATTGCTTAGAGAATATCATACATGGACAATGATGCAATATGCATGATATATGTATATTGTAATTAAGTTACATGCCAAATAAATTTGACAATCTATTCATGTATTCTACTATTAATGAACTACGGAGTACTTCTAAGTTCGAAATGTAAAGAAATTAAACACATAGATTTTTGTAGAACTCAATGAACAGGGGGCCCTATCAAGATGAATACTTGTATATTCTTTTGCAGTTATTTTGTTCACATTTACTGTTTTCTAGCCATATCATGTAGGGGTTGGTACTTTTATATATATATATATATATATATATATATATATATATATATATATATATATATATATATATATATATATATATATATATATATATAGTGCAGGATTGATTACTATTTATGACTAATTGGTTCCTTTAGCCTCCGTTGTTGATTATATTACTCCGTATGTTTTTGTTAGTGCATTTGAATTCTTAGGGCGTGTTTATTATACTTTTTTTTTGTTTGTAATTTCTTGGGTTTTTTTAATTTCATGTCATGTGCGTTATTGTTTTAGTATGTGGGTAGGTGTTGTGGTTGTTGCGTTCTAGTTTGTTACCTTATGCAAGTTAGGGTAAAGTGTTGTTGGTATTTTCTACTGCTGGTTTTGTTTTGCATTTATGTTGGTGCGCCACTGGTATTTGGTCAGTGCGTCATGCGTGTTTATTGTTTTTTTTTTTTAGGATTTTTTGGGGTTGCGTAGTTAGGTGTGGTGGTTTGTGCGTAGTAGTATGTTACCTTGTGCAAGTTAGGGTGAAATTTAGTTGCTAATTGACACTAGTTTTTTTTTTTTTTTTACATTTAGGTTGGTGCGCTACTGGTATTGGGTTGGTGCGTGTTTATTCATTTATTAACTACAGTCAAAGACACAGAGGTGGGTGTTATTTGCAGTAACAAACTGCATGTAGTGGGCCCACAATGGTTAGAAGACTGTTTTGAGAAAAATCAGAAGTTGCCTAGGGTAGTTATAGTCTGAAGCCCAAAGAATTTTGAAGCATCTGCCATTAAAGAGAGGTAATTGTAGTTAAAATGTTATCATTCATTTCTGTTTACTTCTTGATATTTGGCTTCTGTGGTGAACCAGAATGCTAAAAATGGGTCATTGTTCCTACTTACTATACCAAAATTTTAATTTTGCTTTTCAAATACTTCCTC